GCATGCGTGTGTGTGTGTGTGTGTGTGCGTGCGTGTGTGTGTGTGTGTGTGTGTGTGTGTGTGTGTGTGTACGCGTGCTCATTGAGTGTCGCGGTCGAATGGAGTACTGAGTTGGAAATGTCGTGCGTTCTTGGGAGGCAGGAAGGGATTGTCGTGCGGCACGCAAGCGGCGAGTTGTGCTCATCCGTTGCGACGGTGCGGGCAGCAACCTGCCTCGTGAGTTGGCAACCAGCCGCCCGCGCCGCATGTCATCAGTTGGGGCTTTCTTTGTTGCGCCGGCGCCGCTGCCGCGCACTGCCGCAGGGCCGAGCTGGAGCAGGCGGGCGTGGGGCTGGCGCTGCAGGCCATGTGGGCGGCCAACATCGTGGACATTCAGAAGACACTGCACCAGGTTTAGGGGATGTGTCTGTGAACGGCTTTGCGGGGGTTTCAGGGCACAGGCGGGCCTGCATCTGCGCTGGCGCGATGCAGCACCCGCTCTGATGCCCGCTGCGGGTGCTGCTGCGCAGGCAGCTTGGCCGCGCGCCTCGTCTCAAGGGGCCCGCCACCGCCGCGGGCCGCGCTCGACGACCCACACTCGGCACTCGCCGCCGCCTGCGCCCCAACGCAACGCCACACCCTTGCGATCCGCACACATTCTCGGCCGGCCCCCCACCCGCCAGGTGTGCAAGCGGCTGCTGCGCGACCCGGCCCTCAGCAGGGAGGACGCGCGCAAGCGCGCCGCGGCCCTGGGGGAGCTGGGCCGGATCTACCAGGAGGCGCGCGCGCCGCCAGAGCTGCGGCGCAACGCGCAGGAGCAGCTGGAGGAAGCCATGAAGAAGCTGCAGGAGATGATGGGGGGCGGGTCGCCGGAGGAGGGGGCGGGCCACGCGGCGGCGGCGGCGGCGGCCGCTGGGGAGCGGTAGCGGGGTGGCGTCCGCTGCTCTTATTCACTTGCAGCTCTAAGGGCAATCAATTGTGCGTGTTTCAATTGTACAAGCTTGCCACGTTGGGGCACGCTGGCGCCGGGGTGGTGGCGCTGGGCCCTCAGCACGGGTCACTCTGGGATGCCAGGAGGGCGGGCACGGAGGGCTCGGGGCGCACCCCCTGCCCCCTCCCCCCCCCCGCGCCAGGTTTGGGCAGACCGCCATGTCAGCGGCGCATCGCAGATAGCGGGCTGCCGCCCGGATTACGTTGCGTCAATTGTGCCATCTGATTTGCGCTCCCTTAATTCCAGCAAACACACTCAGATTCGTCAATTCCCAACTCGGCCGCTTGGGGATGGGTGCGAGGGAGGGGGGACAGAAGCATCGCGGCCTGCAAGGCAGGGCAAGACCCACTGCTTGATGTTGGGTGTTGGTCTGGGATCAGTCGTCGACTGACAGCACAACGGTGATGACATATACCCTGGTTTGTTCGCAGTCAGCCTGCATGCACCCACCACCAGCCGTTGGCGCGGCCTAGAACTCATTCATCTCAATTACGCAAAATACTTCAGCATATACGCTGCAGAAAGGCTGCATGTCAGATGGCGAAGGCGTGTACCGGTATGCAGAAGCCACAGCGCCGGTGGTGCCTGCATCATCGCCGCACGTGACCACATTGAAACCCCCCGACGCAGGTTCCCAGCATGGCAGCATGTCTGCAGTGTACCAAAAGGACAATACGTTGTAGTCATCTCACACCCATACGCGCTTATGAAGGGTCATAATCCTTACTAGAGTTCGATCGAGGCACAGGGAACCAGATAAAATCTTTACCGTGCGTGCTTTCGCAAGCACCCGTGCGCATCTAAGCTACCAAACGTGTATCGTGACGTGAAAACACGCAGGCCTCCTCTCGCTCTCTCTCTGTCGCTGCTGGTGCCGAGCTCTGCGCTGCTGCTGCATCAGGTCGCCTTGAGCGAGGTGTTCACTGCCCACCAGGATGGGTGTCAGTGGCAAGGCCAAGGTGCTAGTCATTGGTGCTGGCTTTGCCGGCGTCCCTTTGGCGATCGAGCTGACGTCCAAGGGTCTGGACGTGACACTGGTGGACAGGTGGGGGCAGGACAGGGCTGACGCTGCCGCCATGAGGCGGGCCGGATCGAGCTTGCCACAGCAAATTGGCAGGATCGCTGACTCAAGGCAGCTCCCATACATTGCAATACACAACGAATGCAACGCGCGAAGCGCGCCAAGCCCCGCAAGCAGGCGCAGCCACGACCCCTCAGCCGCGCCCTCATGTCATCCCCCGCTTCGATGGGCCCTCCCTTGAATCTCCGCGCCCCTCTGGTCACCCTCCTCCCTGCCCCGCCCCAGCAAGCCATACTTTGAGGTGGTGTTTGCCAATGCGCGCACACTGGTGGAGCCGGCCGTGGGAGACAGGGCCATCGTCGCAATGCAGGCGCGTGTGACGCCCTGACCGGCATCCTCGGGGCTTGAAATCTCTGGCAGGATCGTTTGAGGGGAAGGGTAGAACGCCTCAGCGGCTGCCTTTGGCCTTCATACTTGCGCCATGCCTGGCTGAGGACATGCAGGGAGAAGGATATGCACCCCGCTCTCCGTTTATCGACACAAACCTGGCTCAAAAACCGAAACACCGACCCTGGCCTGCGTGCTCGTCTTCCACCTCACAGGACCTGAAGCCTCATGGCGTGTTTGTCCAGGGCCACGTGAAGGAGCTGCACCCCATACACGCGCTGCTGGACGACGGCCGCCGGCTGGACTTTGACTTTGCCGCCGTCTGCACCGGCAGCAGCCAGCAGTTTGGCAAGGGGGGCGCGGCCACCATCGAGGAGCGACGGGCTGAGCTGAAGGTGAGAAAAGAGGGGAGCGGCCGGGTGCAGGGGGGCAGGGCGGATTGTGGGCAGGGGAGTGCAAGCGCCCTGTCGACTGTGAGGCCAACATACGGGCGGGCCCAAGGCGTGCTGCTGTGACTGTGCGTCCCCCGGTGTCGTCCGGGAGGTCGCATGCGTGTGACGAGCCGGAGGGTGTGTCGCTTGTGATCCTTGCAATTTTGAAAGCCCCTAAACCTCGCCCCTGCATTTACAGAGCAGCCTGAACTCCACTCCGCCCCCCATGCTGGCTTAACAGGCACAGCATGATGCGTTGGTGGCTGCCCCGGCCGTGGTGGTGGTGGGTGGCGGCCCCCTGGGTGTTGAGCTTGTGGGGGAGGTGGCCACAGGTGATGATCTGGAAGGCGGGGAGGGGAGACAACGATTTCGGACTGTTGTGCAACATCCTCTCAGTGTGTTGATGTGCACCTGCATACTACACTCTAAGATTTAAACGGCCAGGCCAGGAAATTGTGTGTGTCGCGTGTGGAAGTGTTCCTGTGTCGGCCTGCTCATGCACGTGTGGACCGCCCTCATCGCTGAGGGCCGCGCACACCCTGCCGCCCGGCCGTCCGCTCCGGCCCCGCTGCTTCGCTTAGGTCTCCTCCCTCCACCACCATCGCCGCTCTTCTCGTGCCTTCAGCAGCCTGCGTTTGTACCCAAGTACTCGTGCCGCGTCATCACCCTCCGCCCTCAACCCACCATCCCTACCCCTCACACCCCCCCCCAGACATGCCCTCCAAGCCCACGTTCCTGGTGCACAGTGGGGACAGGCTGATGCCCAGCCTGCCGCCCCGCGCCTCTCGCCTCGCGCTCTCCTGGCTCAAGGGCCACGGCTGCAAGGTGAGCACGCCTGCCTCGATGCATCGCGCCCACCGGCTGTGACGCGCCTGAAGGCAAATCTGAGGCTGCCGGTCGCCATATGCAGCAGCCAACGCTTAGACCAAGCTCAGGTGTCTGACCGACGGCGCCTCAAACTTCAGACCTCCTCATATCGGCTCACGCGCACCAACCCGCGCGTCCCTGCTGCCCCCTGCGCCCACCAGGTGCTCCTGAACAACCGCCTGCAGCTCGACCCCGCCAGCGACCCCGCGTCTGCTCCGGCCGGCCCCCTGGTTACGGCCAAGGGGGAGGAGCTGCCGCGGGGCGCCCTGGTGCTGTGGGCCACCGGCACGCGGCCGGCGACGGGGCTCATGAAGCCGGCGCTGGCGGAGGCGCTCGACAGCGACGGCCTCATCAAGGCAAGTGGGGGAAACAAATGTCGTTGAACGCCACAGCAACCCTGCCGTGCGCCTCGACCTTGGTGGCGGAAAGGCGCGCCTGCGGCAAGGGTGACGAAGTGCTGAGAGCTGCCTCACATGCAAAGTTGCCGCGCGCCAGCACGAGCCGCAGTCTGGGCGTGCAGCACAGCAGCCGTTTGGCGAGGGATGCGCAGCAAACCAATACAGAGCTGCGCCACGCGGTGCGCAGGTGGAGCCGACGCTGCAGGTGGTGGGCCACCCGACCCTGTTTGCCCTGGGTGACGCGAACAACGTGAAGGAGGAGAAGCTGGCATACCTGGCGCAGGTGAGGGCGCATGCTGGGCATGCATGTATGCATGCGTGTAGGATGATGCATACGTGTGAGGGCGCGAGAGGCTATGCATGTGCGCAGGGGTGCGATCATGCGTCAGAACTAGCCGCTTGGCTTGAATACAGCAGCACAGCCTGTGAGTGCCGACACGCAGTGGCACACCCTAGGGACTTGATACCTTTTTTGTCCCAGCATCACGTCGCACCTGTCATGCACCCTCCAGCAGTCTCCAAGCCAAGCCCTGCCCCCTGCCAACACCCTCCGCAACCACCACAGGCCCAGGCCCCGGTGGTGGCGGGCAATATTGCGGCCCTGGCGGCCGCCAAGGAGGCCGCAGCCGCCGGAGGGGCAGCTGGGCAAGCCGCCCACCCGCCCAAGCTGTCGGCGTGGCGGCCAGGCATGGGTCTGCCCACCATCATGATCGTCTCGCTGGGACGCAGGTCTGTGCGCCTCGCATGGTTGCCACGCGTACATGCACATGCGGCCATGTGTGCGCTGTGTTGGGTCTGTGCTGGCGCCGTGGCCGCGGGTCAATGCAAGCAAGCGATCTCCAGGGGCGCTGCCTGCAGCGAGCGTGCAGTCAATTTACAGCCAACCCGTCTGATCCGTCGCCCCCCACCCACCCGCCTGCACAGCTACGGCGTGGCGCACCTGGCCTACTTCACGTTTGGCGGCTGGCTGGTGTCCAAGATCAAGGACATCAACACTTTCATCAGCAAGTCACGCCACGGGGTCTGCCTGGCGCCGTGATGCGCCAATGACAAGGGCATCGTCTCGGCTGCTGCCATGTCGTGCCGAGGCCGCCCCGTAATGACCGTGTCTTGAAGTAGTGTGACCGGTGTACTGTGACTCGCGTGATGAGAGGAGCCGCTGGCGTCGTGGCGGGCTGTCGTGTGATGTGACACAAATGGCGGGTTTGTGCGAGGGAAGGGCCCCTGCATGAGCCACTGAGGCGGCTGACTGTTTCAACCGGGGATGGGAGTGCTGACCGTTTTGACAATGCAGGGTGACATGTCACGCGAACATCGACCATACGGTAACCTGTAAAAGAAAGCATGATTTCAAACGCAACAGCAATGCATGTGTTTGCAAGCCGCCGGCGCGAACTCTCGCCGTACCTTGCCGTTTGAAAACTTCGTGCAGGTGATCTACAGTAGTCCAGTTCAGTGTCCTTGCTCATGCTGACGATTGGTTGCCAGCTAAAGTCACAGGATTGCATGCAAGCTAGACACACGGAGCGTTGTACGAGGCAAGGACAAATGGACCTGTCAGTCTAAGACAACCCCTCGGGTGCCACTCCGTGCGTCACCAGCGCCACCGAGCGGCGAGTCAGGGGGCACAGCGTCAGCAGCCGAAAGCCCCTGTTCTGGGCAATGGCACAAGACCTCCACGCTAGCTGACGTATTGCTGCTCGTCTTCTATACACACACGCTCTCTCTGCAGCATACAGGGATGTCTTCCTCCAAAGCCACGGTCGAGGCGCTCTCCGGGGGCTTCGGCAGCCTGGTGGCGACGATTCTAACGTATCCACTCAAAAATATATACACGTTACAGGTGCGCATCGCTCATGAGCGGCACCGCCGCACCAATGACGCATGCTCCAACGCTCTTGCAACCGCAGCTCGCTGATGCAGCGCGCCCCGGACCGCCGCCCCGCACCCCCGCAGGCCATCCGCGCCATCAAGGCAGATGCCTGCCGCGACGGCACCGCAGGCAGCCCTGAGACCGACGCGAGGCTGCAGCGCGCTGCGGCCGACCCCGTCGCCGCGCTGGCTGCGCTGTGCCGCGACCGCATCAGGAAGCTCGACCTCCCGACACTCTACGCCGGCCTCGCGCCGTCCGCAGTGGAGACTGTGGCCTCCACTGTGGTGTACTTCTACCTCTATTCGCTGCTGAGGCAGGCGGCGGTGTCGGTGCGGCGGCGGCGGGTGGCGTCAGCGGGCGTCGGCAAGGCGCGCGGGGACGAAATCGGGGTGGCGGCGTCGCTGCTGGTGGCGGCGGCAGCGGGCGCGGGCAACATGCTGGTGACAACACCGGCTCAGGTTGGCGGGTTGGCGCCTTCGTGGGGGTTTCATGGCTTCGGGAAGTGGCTGTTGACGGCTTTGAGGTCAGCTGCGATCTCGCCGTGTGGAAGTGGCTGTTTGCGGCAGCCCACTCAAGACTCCCCCCAAGGTCCCATTGGGTCAAATGCAGCGACTGATGCGCGGAGAATCTCCCCACAAATTACACACACACACACACACACATGCATGTACACGTGCACGCACTGAGGCGAGTGTGCCCACATCCGCTACTTCAGTATACCTTCCAACACCCATGCTCGCGTGCGCATGCACGTGTGCTCCTCCCCCCAGGTTGTGTCCACGATGATGATGGCCAACGCAAAGCTGAGGCAGCGGCTGGAGGAGCAGGGCCGCCCCGCGGGCCACGTGCGCTGCGACACCTGGGGCGTGTGCCGCGAGGTCTGGCGGCAGGACGGGCCCGGCGGCTTCTGGAGGGGTGAGGCCCGCTCCTTTGGGGGTGATGGGTGGGGAGGGGTGGACAGAGGGCTCAACGAGGCGCTGGACAGCCGCTGGCCCTCAGTACCAGCCTGGTTCCTGTTTGGCAGCAGTTGGTGTGGTGAGCAGCGGGTGCGCCAGGCGCCTGCGGGAGCCTAGCTGCTGAAGTCACCCGCCCAAGAGACACACTGCACTGGTAGATCTGTCCCTCAAGCTCACCCATTTCTTGAGCCTCGGGTGCACACACACACACACACGCACACACACACACACACACGCACACGCACACGCACCCGCATCCGCACCCGCACCCGCACCCGCACCCGCATACGCACACGCAGCTGCACCAACACGCGCACGCACGTGCACACCCGTCACCCCCCAGGCCTGCTGCCCAGCCTCATCCTGGTGGTCAACCCGGCGGTGCAATACGCGTTGTTCGAGTGGGGCATGCAGCGAGCAGCCGCCACCAAGGCGCGTCGCGCGGCGCGGCGGTCGCACCTGCGCGGCGGGCCGCTGGTGGTGCGGGGCCCCGCCGAGCTGGGGCCGGGGGAGGTGTTCTTGATAGGTGAGCGCGTGCTGGCGCTGCCGCAGGCTCTGGCAGGATGCAGTGGGCCCAGCCGCGCACAGGGTCGCTCAGTGATACAAGAAACGCAAGACTGAGAAGCTGGGGCTGAGCAGCACGCACCTCTTCCCAACCGTGCGCACTCTGGTGCGCTCGTGATC